AAGTTTCTCTTTCCAGTCCTTGAACAGAAGCTGAACTGTACAAGGCGAGGGAGTAGAGGTGTCTGCTTGACTGTGGCCTTGATGTATGCATGCAGGGGAAAAAAAGAATTTTCAAATAAATCAACTATGGAGACAATGTGTGAACTACATTTTGTGCCCTCGGTGAAGGCATTTATCTGCAATGCCATGCAATTGCAATTAAAGAACACAATCTCCTTTCGATTTTGCATTTTGTATAGGCGAAAAATAATGTTCGGCATATAGGCCTAACCAACAGGACTAATAGGGCCTCATACATAGTATATGACACAAAATATGGTTCCTGGAATCAATGCATGATGCACCTAAAAAGTTGAGCCTAATAGGACATTGAGAGTAAATAATGTCATTTTAAAAATGATTAAATATTAAATATACTCACAAAAACAAACAAGACCAATCATTTCATCAACTATGTGACCAACAGGGTGGTAGTCAAACTTGCCAAGTGGTGATCAGTAGTTTAAATTATAATAAAGATAAGAGGCAAAGGTGCAGCACTTAATGACGAAACCCAGGGCGATCATTTGCCATTATGGAATGCAAAATCACAAAAACTTAATTACTTTAATACTGCATCAAAACCTAAGTCTGCAGAATTGCAGCAAAACCTCACATTGGTAATCATAAATCATTTAAAAAGAAATATACCTGAACCAAAACTGTAACCATATTGTCACAATCTGTCTGTCAATGCAGTTATGTTCCTGTTTGGCCAGCAGGGGTCTCTGCTGGTCCCGTTTCCTCCCTTCTCGTTCCAAATCACTCACACTTGTTCCTTGTCTGATCCTCATTACTCTTGTATATAGCTAGCAGCCTGTGTGTTGTTCACTAGTTCTGTCATTGTTAGTGCTGGTGCTCTGTGTTGGTTCTTGCTCATAAGTAGTTAATCCTAATGTTTAATGTTACTGTTTACCTAACAGTCCTGTGTTTAAATCAGCCTGGTCCCTCCCTGGAGTTATCCTGCCTGCCTCCTGTTTTGTGGTCCTTTTATTACCAGTTGAGTGTTTTCCTGTTTTGCAATAAAGTCCCTGTCTTTTCCACATGCTGCATTTCGATTGTCATTCCTTCCTCGTTTTCAGTTGTGAACACATGTGGGTTAAAAAAAGACAACTGCAGATAGAGATGGTACAGTTATGGTAAATGCAACTGATAAACTTCTTTGTTTAACAATTAACTCACCTCCCACATCTCCAACCTGATCTTTCTCTCACTTTCTTCATCACCGGCACTAACTTCTGTCAGGGTTAATGTCATTGTTTTCAGGCTGAGCAGTGTTTAGTCAGCCTTCAAGGTTTTTGCTTCTTCTTTAGAAGCACAGATATTGAAGTTCCCCTGATAATTACATGACCTAACTTAAATTACAAGCACAAGTAAAGAATTAATAACATTGGTTTGATGCTACAAGAAAGACCTCACAGGCAAACAAAAATCCCTAAACACAGCACTCTAACGATGTAATTTTGTAATTTGTTTACCAAATGTCATACGGTATAACAAATTATTAAGGTAAGGACTGAGCTCAGATGTTTCAGTAGCTCAATACTGTGGAAAAGATTTCCAGGAAGCGTTAATGAAAGAGACCTTCAAGGAATCATATTACTGTAAATTGCATTGCAAGTCATCATCTTCACCATCATCATCATCATCACTATCATCATCTTCACCATCATCATCTTCATCATCATCATCTTCCCACCACATTTCCTGGTCAATGTCTCCATGGCAGCAAGCCAAGCAGATCAGACCAGATTCCCTTTTTTCCATGGCCACAGACTTTAGCTCTCTCTGGTGGATCTGTTGATGTTCCCAAGTCTGCTAGCATCCCTCCAACATGTACTGGATCTTCTGTAGGGCCTCTGCCCAGCCTGGTACAGTTTCCTTGGGAGTCATCCATGTGGCACCTTCATAAGATGCCTCAATCACCTGACTCTTCTTGATCTGAAAGCACATTGGCTCTGTTCTGAGGTCCCTACTGGTTTCTGAACTCCTCACCTTGTCGTAGAGAATGAGTCCAGGAATCCATTCAGACTCAATGTGCCCGACCTCACACGGCATGTGGAAAAAGTTTTTGGTATGAGATGAAGTCATCTTGTGCAGAAGTTTCAGCCAGATGTTCTCAGAAAACCCTGAACTGCTCATGTGGGTTGCCCAGTTCCATCTGGCCTCCCTCCTTTGTGCCAAATCCAACTCACTTGCCAAGTGGTGATCAGTAGATAGTTCTCTCTCTCTTTACCTGAGTATCTAAAACATAAGGCCTGAAATCAGATGACATAAGTACAAAATCAATCATTGAGCTTTGCCCTTGGGTACAACAGTCTCCATGTGCACTTATGAATATCTTTGTGCTCCAACATGGTATATGTCATGGTCAATGTATGCCTTGCAATTAGGTCACTACTTTGGTTTAGATCCATGAGGCCATTCTTCCCAATAATGACCCTCCAGGTGTCTCCATAATTCCCCACAGAAACACTAAAATCTTCCAGTAAGACCACAAAGCAGGCGGTACCCTTTTGAGCACCAACGTTCTTGGGCACTGTGAATTTCCGTTGAGTGCATACACACAAACGACAGCCAGGGATTAACTCTCTGCAACTTGGAATCATACAGAGGTAACCCTGTTGTTCACCAGGGAAAGCTCCAGCTGTAAAGAGCTCAGACTGTATCCCCAGACAATCCAGGTTAGCTCAAGTTCCATCTCCACCAATCTGTCCAGGTCCTTCCTGCCTATTGCCTAAACAGCACTGACCCTGACCCCCATCTTTCATCTTAAGGGTGGTCAGCCCACTAGATGATGCTGCAAATCCTCATTTCTTTTTAAAAACACATTAACCAGTTTTTTTTATAGTATACCTTGGATATTTCCTAGGATTTCTTTCATTCTCTCCTTAGAGGGGTGACATGTTGGCGCAGTGGTCAGCACTGTCCTCTCATACCTCAGGGGTCAGTATCCACCAGGGTTCCGTGTGTGGAGTTTGCATGTTCTCCCCGTGTCATCATGGGGCTTCTTATGAGTACTCCAGTCCCTCCCCCCAGTAGAAAAACATGCTGAGGTTAACTGGAGTTACTAAATTACCCATAGGTGTGTGTGAGTGTGTGTATGTATGTGTGCATGTGTGTGTGTATGTGCACACGCAAGCCCTGCATTAAGTCGGCACCCCATCCTGGGTTGTTCCCTGAATTGTATTCATAGGCTCTGGACCCCCCCCCCCTCATGACCCTAAATAGGGCAAGTGGTTTCAGAAGAGGCATGGATGTTTCCTTAGATATTTATTCAGCTTTCCCAGACTATATGAAAACCTCTAAGACTGGGAAATGGGGAGTTGACCAGGTGCATTTCATAACAGTGAAAACGCATGCAGAGTGTATGATGATTCATCGTTCAGTTACAATGAGGCCAAGAGTCACGGCTTCATAATTCAACCACTCAATTATCACAGTGAAACCAACAACACAAGGTTAAAATCTGGCCTTCAACTCCTCTTTCTTCACTCTTTTTGTAAAGAGTTTTGTCAGACAGAGAACAATTGATTCATATACAGTGGATTGTACAAGGTTCTGGTCCTACGTTATAAAAAAGAACAATCATAACAGCAGCAACTATTATATTATATGTGTGTGTCGGAGGGAGGGTGGGATTAGGTTTATATTATATTGTGGGGACCAAATGTCCCCCCACAATATGATAAAAAACAATTTTTTTTACATTGTAGAGACCATTTTTTCAGGTCCCCACAAAGATTTGTGAATATAATCAAAAAAGTAAAAATGACAAAAGTCTCGTATTTTGTTTGGTTACTTATGGGTAAGGTTAAGGCTGGGTAGGGGTTAAGGTCGTCATGATGTGATTAGAGTTTTCCCCAATGAAATGAATGGAGAGTCCCCACAAAGATATAATTACAAACCTCTGTGTGTGTGTGTGCGCGCGCGCGCGCATGGGTGGACACGCCTTTGTGTAAAAGCATGTGTCTGCCAAAAAGTGATCGACCTCACTGTTCTTATTTTGAGCTCTTTTACGGAGCTGCTGGAAGCTTAACTATTTTCCCAGGGCGAGTATACGAGTTAAACACGTTAATGATGACATCAGAATGTTTATATTTAATATTCCTGTCCTGGCATTTCAGTGTTTAAACAGCCTACTGTTTCTTGTCCATATAGACACACGGTAATAGAAAAGCATGTTTTTTTTGTTCTTTTTTTTTAATTATTGAAGAGCATAATCAAAATTGAACCTGAAGTGCTCTGTATTAATAAAAGAATTTATAGCGAAATAAACTGAGGAAATAAGTAGAAGGAGCAGAAAGTAGACCAGAGGTTCAGGACTTGGGATGCAAAGTTTGCTCGCTTTAGATCCAAGGGCACTGAATGTAGACCTCTTAGCAAGGTGCCTCTGTAGCTGCAGTATTACATACATACCTGTGTAAAGGAGTAGGGGGTCTCTGCATGAAAACCTCGGCTAAGAAACGAAATTAATAATGCAAATCATGGTAGAGAGGCTGAGCGCCGAAATGAGCTGGAGAGCATTCCAGCCGTCGGTCGCACACATCTCAGGATTTAACGGCCAGCTTGAACAGATGCCTCGCAGTCTGTATAATGTGTATAACAGTATGTATAATAGTTGCTGTTATGGTTGTTATACCCTGCAAACCTGCTAATTAAGAGAGGTTAGTTAGAAGACGGATGGATGGCTAAACAGCTAATACCCTAATCATCAACATCGACAATTAAAAACAACTACTGAACAGGATGTTGGCCGCATACACACAAACTGTCAAGGTATGCATCTCTGCAACTATAAAAACTATTCAACATGCTTAAGAACAACAATGCATGAGACACGAAATAAATAAGTAGCCTACATTTGTGTGGACAAAACGGAATTACAAAATTAAACAAACCAGCGGCAAAACGACCTATGTTTGCTCCAAGTAAGTTTAAATGCAGGATCGTTTCCAGTTCTCGGTCAGGTTAGACCTCTAATCTAGTTTGCTCATTTCCTTGTAGCTGGCTCCCTCTAGTCATCCTCTCGGGTAAAGTTGTGGGAGGTGTCTGAGAAAATCTGAGTCTTAAGAAGTTCTTACAGGAGAGCATGGACCATAAACCTGTCTAAGTTACGGCGCACCGAGCGCATCCAGGTAGTGTGACAGCTCCATCGCAAATGTAAGAACAGGAATGGCGTGCTTTGACGACTGTCGCAGCCTCGGCGATAAGAGGCAAAAGAGCAGCATCCTCTACAGCATCTTGAAAAACGATGGCCAGGAAGAAAGGCAAGCGCCAGGGCGATCAGGTGCGGTGGTCCCTCTGCAGGCGTGCTCCTGTGTGTCCGAGACCAAAGTTAGGCTGCGGTGCCCGCAGATCGCCTGCAACGCAGCCTCCACCGTTCTGGTAAAGACGCTCAAGTTTGTGAAAAATGTACCGTGTTTCCGAGAGCTGCCAGCCGAAGACCAGCTGCTGCTGGTGCGGGGCGGCTGGGCTCAGCTTTTGGTACTGGGCATGGCGCAGGACAGGGTGGACTTCGAGACGGCGGAAACCCCCGAGTACAGCATGTTACAGAGGATTTTAACTGGCGGACAAGATCTCCACGACACTCGGCAGTCGAGAAACTGCCAGGGTGTGCCTTTGTCAGATATCCGGATCATTAAGTCTTTCCTGAGCAGGTGCTGGGCTTTGGATATTAGTACGAAGGAATACGCCTATTTGAAGGGAGCTGTCCTTTTTAATCCAGGTGGGCGCAAGAGTATAAAAATCTTTGACAAAAAAGATCTAATTATAGTCCATGGGGTTTCCATTAAAACGCATTAGTAAAGTTATTTAAAATAATTAAGTGTTGAATATTTATGTCAGAAATGTAGAAATCACCAACCCTCCATCCTTCCTTCAACCCTTAATTAATCCCGCAAAGGGCGCGGGGGCGCTGGAGTTTATCACATGTGGATAATTACAGAAATGCTGTCCGCAAAACAACGAGAATCTGTTTTTGTAATCTTTTGCTTAAACAATTTGGCGACGATATAAATGTATATTGGTAATATTGAACACATTCTAAGTAATTATATTTAAAAAGTTGATTGGTACAGTAGGCCTGTATTTCAATATTTACCATACTGTATATTTTATTATTTGGACTATCGATATTAAAGTATCTTACTAATATTTATTTAATTTTTTTTATCCCCTACAGACCTGGTCGGTCTGCAGTACCTCCACTACATACACGGCCTGCAGCGAGAAGCGCACCAAGCGCTGAATGAACACGTCAGAATGACCCGCAGGGAGGATTCCGCCAGATTCGCCAAACTCTTTATCGCTCTTTCCACGCTGAGATCTATCAGCTCGAACGTCGTCGCCGAACTCTTTTTTAAACCGATCATCGGATCCGTGAACATGGAGCAACTTCTACACGATATGCTTTACGGGAAATAGCCAAACACAAGAATGCAGGGACATAAGGAAATCAGAGGCCCACCGAAAGACGATCAATGACCACAAATGAGACTGTCGCTAGCTAAATTATTTCTTGTTACACAGCATATTTTTCTATAATTAAAGTGTTCTTTGGACTTACCGCTTTGCCCATAAAGTCTGTTTGTACCTGGATCCTCCGCAAATAACATACTGTGATCCGAATCACTGGTAATTCATCCGGAAATCTGATCATTCACCCGCTATAATTAAGATATTAATCTTACTTTCGTCTATGACATTTATACAAATCAAATCGCATAATGTGACTTCTAAAAGGAGCATATTTAAACAGAGAACATGCTTAGTGAAAACTGAAACAAAGACTGTGTTTAAAATGACATAATGATATTGCAACTGGCACGTCTAAGATTAATGGCTGTTATTAAAAACTGAATCTGAGGAGACCTGTTTTATTGCAAGGACTCTTCATTTTAAAGCAACGCCCATTAAAATGCTCGATAGCTTGAAACAGTAGTCAAAGTGTATTGAAAAAATTTCAATACTTGTATCCGGAAGAGGGCAGCGTTTACCCGAGAACTGCGGCATGGATTCGGGTTTGGCGCAAGGAATGTAAACGGGAGATGAGACTCCGACCAGCCCAGTGTTAAGATCGGTCAACTTCAATTGAGTAATTCACGCTGACAATAGTAATACGTATGCTAGTAAGGTAAATAACTTCTTTTATTGTGTCCGTAATTACACGTCAAAATCTGCGAAGGATCAACGCTTGTCCATATCCGACAACGTTTTCAGTCCGACCACCATTACACAGAGGTCGCATGGATGGGAAATAGACCTGACCTCTGCGGGAAACTCCTGGATTGTGATACATGAACAGTCAATTCAAAGTTAAGTCTCTCTTGCATTATCACTCCCTAATTGATCTGAAAAGGCGGGGATCCTTTGCGTAACCACAGTATGTGCACTAGCACAGCCTAGGATATACCTCTGTCCGATTCCATCGGGATACTGCGGGGAAGATCGTTTTCTATTGTGCTTTTATAACGAAGCAGCAGTTACCGCCAGTACGCAGGGCTTGAAAGTAATTTGAAGGTAACTGCTAAACAGTGCTGTTGATTGATTGATTGATTTATTGATCCTTTACGGTTATTGATTGCCCCAAAACAGAATTCCCGAATGAATCCGGAAACACAGAGACTTAAAGTTACAAGGATATTAAATGTAAATGGAAACAAACAAGGGATAGAAAATAGTTAAGTAATAGATAAAGTTGGTTCTTTGAAATATCACCTCAAATGAGGTTTTACTCCTAAGACGGGTCATACAACTGAAAAAAACACTGGTGACTTAAAAACATCAAACACATTTTAAAATACACAAACATCAGTTTATGCAATTTATTCGATTAACATTGAAAGTAAAAGTTTCCTTGAATAGACATGTATTCTGCAGTACACACAGGCACGCACCAAGAGTGCCACTTAGGCCTTTGTAATTATACAGTATAAAATTATGAATTGTGGGAAATCGTCAGGCATAGAAATAAAAGTTTCTGCCAGACAAACATTTTAGGCATTATCTGTGAAGAACAAAGTCAATTCAGATTCGATTCCTTCGGGAGAGTGCATTTCTGAGCATGACGATGGCAGATTAGACAAAAATGATGCGTTAGCAATATAAATGTCTAAATCTACACAAATATGTTGTATGCATCCTATAATGGGACTTAAAAAAAAGTCAAATTTGAATTAAACGTGGAAACTATCAAAGGTTTAACCCTCTGTCTATTTACTTAGAAGCAAAGTTTGTAATTAACTGGATATTTTTTTCTACCGAACACATGGATGCTAAATAATAAACCGCATAGGCAAGTTAACGTCAGTTTATGTAACTCAACTGAAATACATTTAGAAAAAGGAAATGATGCTATACATTTTTGTCATCTCACCTCGGAAATAAACTGAAATAGCTGGAAACCTCCATCAATCTGTCTTGCAAATGATTATTCTCATCAGGATGACTGTGGAGAAGTAGAGAGGACAGGATGCAGAAGGCAGGGGTAGATCCTGGATGGGTTACCAATACATCGCAAGGCAGGTGATTAACTGCCTATCTTTGGATTGCAAAATAACCCGGTGTAGGGTACCACGATTCGTATGGGGAGAATATGGTCCTTCCATGGGATACTAGACCCCATATCTTTGGTGGCATTAGGCCGCAGTGCAAACCTAACGCAGTAAAGCCGCTGATTGTTATTTAAAGCTGTCAATAAACCCAGAGCATTTTGAAATAAACGGTGAATTAGTGTCAGAGCATGTAGTTAAGGAGTGGAGCGGTGAGAATTTCCGCTCCTCGCTCACGTTCCGCTCCGCTCCGTTCACATGCTCTGATCAGTGTACAGACTTCATCTCACACTGGAAATTCACTGCACCTTTTACGGCTCCTGAGAGAGTCACCTGACGGGAGTGAGTGGCTTTTGCGTGGAGGCAAGACAAGAGATGATAAGGTTTTGAAAAGGGAGCAGACATGCTGGTCTCGCTACTGATCTAACCACATGCAGCATTTAAGCAGGTGAGATTACCACGTAGATATGCTGTATTTCATGAACAAATAAAACATTCTCTTGTGGATATTCAAGTAAATTTGCAAAATTATTGTCTTTTAGTCTCGCATACCACCTTACTATTTTTTGAAAGCTTTAATATGAAATCAGTCCATTTTGGAGCACAGATTGCTAGGTGAGCTTTTCAGAGAAGCACATTTCCAGTAAAGTACTTTGATACTCTGTGGGAGCTGAGCTGACTTTTCAAAAACTAATAAAATCCTGACCCATTAGAAAGCAAGACATTATGATTGACATACTAAACTCTTTTCATATGTTGATTATTACTATTACTAAGTTTTAAATGAAGTGCTTATGCTACTTGCGAATCAATGCATCGTAAATTCTGTATTTTACAAAAAAGACTTTTCAGAGCATTACAGCTTCTCCGTCCCAAAATTTCCACTCAGTTTGTAAGGTGCGATCTTATATGCCGGAACTTGCTCATTTGTGTTTATTACTTTGGAAGTTCACCTTTATGTTGCTGATTTACCGTTATCATGTACTGTACGCAAAAAGCATCAGAAGACTGTGAGTTTGGCTTCGCTGATGGGCGCCTTTCTGAGCCCACAGTAAACTCAAGATTCAGTTATTTTTCATCTGTCTTTGGTACATCAGTATATGGGAAATCTGTGTCACGCTATCCCGTCAGTAACATGTCACAGAGTTAGACAGCACAAAACAAAGGCACTTGCAAAACATCAAACAAGTACACTGGTACCTCGGTATACATCCTTAAATCCATTCCAGAACGTTGGACTTATACCAAACAGGGCGTATACCAAATGAATTTTTCCCATAAGAAATAAAGGGGAAATGATTAATCCGTTCCCATGAAAAAAATCCTATTGTTATTGGCATATCATACATTGATGGGGTTGTATAAAATAATTTAAACACTGCTTAATACTAAAATACATAAATACAAAAGCAATTAGATGAAATAAATAAAAAGAGAGTTATAGCGCGGGTTGTTAACTGAATGGTAGCACCTGGCGTACTGGTGCTCATGGGCCGTCGTGGGTTTGTCACCAGAGGTAAACAGGGATACAGCACGGTGTCCCGGCTCAGTTTCACCCGTAGAACTTCTAGCACGTGAGTCGTATTCCAATCAAAAGTCATATACCGAGGTACCACTATATATATATGCGTGTGTGTGTAGATTATGTTTACATTACATAAATAAAAACCTGTCATTTTTACATTGTGCAGATCATTTTTCAGGTCCCCACAAAGATCAGTGAATGCAATCAGAAAACTAAAAATGCCAAAAGTCTCATATTTTGTTTGGTTACTTATGGTTAAGGTTAGGGCTGGGTAGGGGTTATGGTCGTTATGTTAAGAGTTTTCCCCATAGAAATGAATGGAGAGTCCCCACAAAGATATGATTATAAACCTCTGTGTGTGTGTGTGTGTATAATAGCCAAGAACTGCAGGAGTATGAATATATGACATAAATATCGAGCAAATAATAGAAATGAGTGAGTGTAGTGCAATGTGCAGTACGGCCCTGTCCTGCAGCGTGTGCTACGTATTTACTGTACAAAAGTTGGAATATTATTTGTTTTTATTGAGTAGACAAGGTGCAGAGGGGTAAAAACCATTCTTAAACCAGTTTGTGCTGCTATACCAGTTTGTGCTGCTATACCTTTGGCCAGACCAGGGCAGTGGTTGTTGTATATGGACCCTATCAGAGGAAGAATGGAGCCAGAGCCAGCGAGGTGTCGTGCGTGTCTCAGTGCCCTCTATGCTGATCTCTCAGTGCCCTCTATGCTGATCTCTCAGTGCCCTCTATGCTGATCTCTCAGTGCCCTCTATGCTGATCTCTCAGTGCCCTCTATGCTGATCTCTCAGTGCCCTCTATGCTGATCTCTCAGTGCCCTCTATGCTGATCTCTCAGTGCCCTCTATGCTGATCTCTCAGTGCCCTCTATGCTGATCTCTCAGTGCCCTCTATGCTGATCTCTGCTTCTGTGTTATTGTACCAGGCTGTGAATCCTCCTGTCAGCATGTGGTGGGGGCGGCTGGTGGGGGGCTGAGTGCCTGCCTGTTTTGCCCAAAATATTTCATGTCCTGAGTGCCCCTTCCCCATTTTTTGTTGCATCCCTTGAGTACATACTCCTCAAGAGGTCTCTGTGCTGCCCAGTTGGCCTGTATCTGCTCTCCATGTAGATAATCTAAAATGACGCTTTGTGGCCTTGCCCCACACTTCTCTGTGGTGTCACGCTCATTTTGGAGCTCAATCAGCTCGATTATCAGAGGACTCCTCTAGCTAAGGCCGGGCTGTGACTTTAATGGGTCCCTAAACGGGAGGACGTGCCGCACTGATCACTGAACCGAATGCTTCTAGATGCTTCCGCTGGTCCCTCTGCACCTGCTCTTCCCTCCTGTCCTTCATGCTACATTTCATTGCTGTTGTAAACTACAAGTAAATGCTTTTAAACCAGCTACATTTACTACACAGTGTGCTCCACTTACGCAGCTGGATACGGTTCTGGCTAAGTACCAGCTCTAGTGTTTCCTTCAAACTTCCGAAG